ATAAACCCTGTTGCACCCTGAGATTGAGCCATGTCTTGCAATTATGAGTGTACAAGTGACAAACCCACAAACTGACCTGTCTCCCCAGTCTCAGAGTCCCCGATATTGGCATGTGCCCAAGTCAACAACTGTAGGGGCTTCCACAGCAGCTGCCCCTCTCTATCGTGGGTGTGCTGTGCTAATGTCATGAAAAACAGATCACCGAAAGCTTTTCCTACCCCTTTCTGAAGAACCATTGCTCTCATATGTGCTCTGCTCGTTTTTTTCCCTTCAGGGTTTTTGGCTTTGTTCCACTGCATCCCAGTTGTGAGTATTTGGAAGAGGTGAGCCTGGCGTCTTCACTCTGCCGCCATCTTGCCAGACTCCTCCCTTTGAGGATTTCCAACTTCAGCCATGACTTTTTTAAAATTATGATATTTAAAATATTTTACCCAGCGTTTGTTGGTTTTCTTTGACAAGAGATACTGAAAGATCTAATCTGCTGTTTGTCAGGATTTTCATTCACTTGTCAAGTCACCAGTGCCCCTCACCACTACCACATCCAAGCTGCTTCAGCAAACGAGATTAGAGTTCTTCGTTTCCAAATCCAATCAACTCTTTCCAGCCTTCCTCTTACTTAATCTTTCAGCAGCATTCAGCACTGTTGGCCAAAGCTTTTCCTCCATGACTTCAAATAGCAAATGCTTATGCTACTATAGCTATAACTGTTCCCTCTCAATTTCCTTAGCTGACTCCACTCTTTTTGCTCATTAGATATTGGTGTTCCTCAGAGTTCTACCCTAGGAATTTTTAGTCTCATTGTATAAACCGTACCTGGATGACGATCTCCAGCCCTGTCTCTGCCATCACATGTATAATGATAACTTCCTGATCTGCATCACAATACATTAGGCAAGCTAGGTTAGGTTAAGTGAGATAAGAGCTCCTCTCTATCCCATACCTTCCTCTCACAATTCACAAATGATTAGATTTCTTATCTTCTTCCAAAATCTCAATAGCACAACATGGAAGCATATCTTTATTGTTTATAAAGCATCCACTGCAGGCTCAGGTGACTCTTCAGAGAAATATATAACTCTACGACCCAGCTTAGAGTTTTTAACCTCACCTTATCACCAAATCTCCATGATCACCCTGAAGCAGAAGGGGTCAGAGGAGGTCTGCTCCAGCAATGACACACTTCAACTGAAAGGGTCAGACATCACTTTCATTCATAGAACAATGACCAAAACTTGTGACCCAGCACCACCTACCACAGGTGAGAACTGTACTGTCTACCACACAAATCTAGACCCCGCTCATGTATCCCAGACTGTGCACCCAACTACCCTCTTGACCTCTGTGCCTGAATGTTCCAGAGGCACCCTAAACTCAGTGTGTCCAAAAGTAAACTCATCGTGCCCCATCCTTCTCCCCTTCTATGTTCTATTAATCAAATAGAGTGCAGAACCCTGGGAGTTTCCCTGAGCTCCTCTCTTTCCCCTACCTTCCTCTCACAATTCACAAATGACTAGATTTCTTATCTTCTTCCCCATGAGCATTGCCTCTTATCAGATCACCCTGTTTCTCACCTGGAGCTCTGCAACACTAATGGACTCCCTGCCCACAGTCTGGCCTCTCACCTGTCCTTCCTATACTCTGGCGCCTGAATCCAAATGTTACCGAGTCACTCTTCTTCAACTGTCTCCCCACTGCCTGCAAGGCAAAGTTGGCGTGGGGACCTCCAATCATCTGGTCTTTCCCTTCGTCTCCTGCCTTCCCTCTTCCATTCCCCATCCCCACCCCACCCACAAACTCCAGTGCTCCAGCGCTGGTGAAATACTTGATTTCCCTGGATGTGCAAACAGGACAAAGCCGCCTTTGCTCATGTCCTCCTGCCTAGAACACGCTTCCTCTGTCTGCAGGGGAATGTGATTCATCTTTCAAGATGCAACACACATGTCTTCCCCTATAGGAATCTTTTCTTGACACCTACTCTCTCCTGACTGTGGAGCCTTAATCCTTTCTCTTTCAGGCCCCACTCCATCCTGTCTAGTTGCCTGAGAACATTTCATCACACCCGTTTACTCCAGGACCAGCAGTGTTGGGTCACAGCAGAGTGTTGGGTCAGTCTGGTCCTCTCATGAGTCCTCACACATTTCCGTCTCTGGGTCCTCTTCCTCCTCCTGTTCTCTGGTGATACCTCTGATCAGAGTTTTTGCTACCACTGTCTTAGATATCCCTCAAGTTCATTTACATCTCTTCATCCTTCAACTGCTGCCACCCTCATTCAACTTACTGTTGCCTCTCTGGATCACTTTAAAAATGTCCCAGCTAATCTCTTTATGTTTGTTTAGCTGCCTTCCTATCTGTTCTCTCCTCCCCTAATTTTTAGGGGACACGTTTCAGAACATGTCTGATCGCGTTTTTCTTGTTTAAATACCTTTCACATAGATAAGCCCAGCTCTCGTATGATAAAGACAAAATCTCTGAAGGAACCGGTCCCTTTCTGTCTCTTCAGTGTCATCGCCACCATGTTCTATGTCACTCCAGTGCCCCCGTCCAACAGCACAAATCACATTTCCTTGCGCTTTCAGCAGTCCAAATGCTTGCTTGTTTTCCACCTTCCTTTCCAGTACAGACTTTGGGATGTTCTATTTCCGCTGATATAACCTCCTCTACCCCTCCAGCCCCCTGTGGAACTCCAGCTCCCACTTCATATGTTGACTTATTTTCCTCTAGGAAGCCTTCCCTGGTCCAGGGTGGGGGAAGGAGGAGGTCCCATGTCTTCACAGCACCTGTAATGACTGCATTCCCCATTTCTTGGCGGGGTGCATTACCAGCCGGAAAGCACCATTATGTCCTGAGAACTTAGCATAGTACCTGGCACATAGTAAGTGTTCAACACCTGTGTTGGGAATGAATGAAAAAAACGACTTCTTTCAGACATTGAGAGCTAAGACTTGACATCCTTGAATTTATCATGCTATTTCCTTCTCTATAGCCAGGTGTCCAGCTTGAAACAAACCGTCCTATCAGGCCTGTGGTTTCCTGCCTGTCCTGACCTTATGAAGGGAGACCTAGAAAATGGTCACACCTCCCTACCTTCATTTTTTGGTCTAGTTCTCCACCCATGATATCTTAGGATATTGTGGGACCTGCTTTGAGTGAGGCTTCATCCTGCCTCTATCCACTATGTTAAAATTTCCAGGTGAAAATTAAACAACCTGACTTAGACATTTGGTAACTGCAAAACAGATAAGGGGTCACGTGCCCATCATGACAGTAGGCCCCACACTGTGGCCTTCTGCCAGGAGACATTCCACAGACACACAAATGGACTTCAGCCTTCTAGGAGCTTCACGAGAAATGACCTACCCTCAGACCATCTCCCTGCCTAACCCTTTAAAACTCCCCTCTGCCCTGACCCGGGTGGACATACCTCAGGATGCTCCTTGGTCATGGATCGAATCATGATTCATGTTTCCAAATAAACGCCTTCCGATTGTATTGCAGCCCAACTACTTCTCTCAGGTACTTAATGTTGGTAAAGACAATACTTCTCCTAGGACCTGTGAAATGGGTGCACCCCTTGGCCTACCCACATCACAGATCTAAGTCGACCTGCAATTATAGGAAATACTTGACAAGGAAATTCAACATTCACCAATCACAATCCACCAACTTAGCTGTAGCTAGCTCACCTCACTTTAAGAGATAGGTCTGTTGGTCTTCTAAGGAAATCCTGCCTCCCAGCCCATCACACCATTTCTGAGTTGCCACTCCTGACAGTAAAACTCACTTGTCCCAGATCCCTTGGGAACAGTGTTCCACGGCTGGCGAGGCACTATTGTCCCCTAGTCCATGAATTGTTTTACCTTGAATAAAGGGCATCAAGCTCATTACCAAATTCTTTCAGGTTTCTCGTTTGACGATATGGAATAACCTTCCTCAAAGGCCGTGCCTGTAAGGATTCCCGATTCCAAAACCCAAGTGGTTCCTTATTAATACAGTCTCATGCAAATCCAGCTACATAACTATGTTCTGCTTCCTACCCCATGCAGGTGCCCCTCCCTTGAACCATGCTGGTGTCCCATCATTTGACTCTCAGCAGCTAGCCCTGAGCCGGGTCTCCACGCAGTCACCTTCTGCCCCCATCCAACCCCACCCAAGCTCCAGCCCCAACTAAAGGTCAGCTGCATTTCCCATCGCCCCTCCCCTGGCTCTGCCAGGGACTCCTTGAGACCAGGCCTGCCAGTTGCCCTGCCCTGGGCCTGAAACCTCACCCAGGCACTCTACCTGGCACCTCTTTCACCCACCCTGCCCCCAGCGAGCATGCTGTGGGCTGGCCTTCCGAGCCGTGCACGGGTTCCCCATCCACTCTCTAGCATCACTCTCTGCTTCTCACCTCTACCTCCTCAATCCATCCAGGCCATCCGGTGTGCCCGTCTTTCCTATTTCTCTTCTCAGTTAGATGGCAGCTTCATGAGGCAAGGAGCTTTTCTGTCTTGCTCCCTGAAATACCCACAGCACCTAGCCCAGTGTGTGGCCGATCATGTTTATTTAGTGAGTGTATTTATTAATATTACTTTATTATTTATTATTAATAAAGTATTAATATTATTTTAACAACAAGCAAAGGATTTAAATAAATGATCAGCCCTCCCTTGGAAGGGATTGCTACACTCTCGACACGAAGTCTACACAGGTAGTACTTAACTGGTCACTCTGCTTGCTTTTTTTGGTTCTTTATTAACCTCTTCTCTCTAGTTAGAATAAGGAGGTTAGAAGATACTTGGTGATGATGGCACTGCCTTGTAGCTGTGACCCCCGCAATATCTGGCATGAGGCTAAAGTAACACTCAGGAAATACTTCATTCCATGTAAATTTGCCTAATTCCCCGATGTACTGGTGTGCATGTTTCAAAAGATACGAAAGAAGCTCTTAGCTAATAGGATAAAAAATATGGAGAGTGTTGATCTCAAAGAGGAAGTCTGTCCTCATTTGTCATCTTTGTGACACAGCCTGATGTGACAGTGTCAGTAATCATTTCATCATTTCTGAAACATCGGAGTAGCACAGAAGTCAGAAGAAAGTTCAGTCCCGGACACTTGCTGCTCGTGACCGGAACTTGTCTTAAAAAGGTAAACGCTATCACACCCTGCTTTTCATCTAAATGCAATAATTATTCACCTAAAGCAAATAGCATTGAATTATAGTGGTTTTTATCATATTTTTCTTATTTGGTGAGGGAAGGGTTGTATTTGAATAACTGCATTTGGTGGTAGATTTTATAGCCATCAGTAAGTTTCTCCCGGGCTGGAAAAAAAACATGAAAAAAGTATATATAGCTCCGTTTCTATTTTAATTCATGCTTCTGTCGAATGTTTCAGTTTTGTTTTTGTTTTTTTTTTTTTCAAAGGAAATTATGTTTCCTGCTTTTCTTGGCTGGGATCTGTAAGTGGCTATTTCCCTGGGGCACTGTGTGATAGTTTTGTCTTTCAGGATGAGGTGACTCAATTTTTTAAAATATTTTTAATTGAGGTAGAATTTACATATATCATTGCATTAGTTTCAGCTGTATCACATAATGATTCAATATTGTTTATATTGGGAAATGATCACCACAGTAAGTCTGTCACCACACATAGAGATTTGTGTGTGTGAGACAAGGACCTTTAAGATCTACTCTCTTAGCAGTTTTCAAATATGTAATGCACTATTATGGCCCAGCACTTTTCAAGGAGATCTTGGTACTATATCTTTGAAATGGTTGAAAGTTCAGAGCCACTGATGGGAAGGTTAAGACTTCCAGAAACCTACAATCCTCTCCTCTTCCACCTTCTCCACCATCAGGTCTAGCACAGCTTCATGGAAAAGTACAAACATATTATAATATAAAAGAGGCCACACTTACCCAGGTTTTCTGGTGTTCTCCAAAGAGTACCGTTGACTTACAAATTAGAAAACAAGCAAAAAATGCTTGAAAAATCATTTCCACTCCTGATTCCTCTGTAGATGGTGGACTTTCATGTTTCAAAATTCTCATGAAATTTCTTGCTTGGAAACTTCCTTGTGCATGCTTTTAAAGGTATGGTTGATTGTAAAGCACTACAGTGTTGCTGTTGCTTTTATAACTGGTTCGTGGTGATGGGATGACCTCTGAACTCTCCCTCATGTCTGCGGACTTGGAAATTGACTCAGTTTTGAGGGCTGAATAGCTGAATCTCATATACTATTGAGGGCATTAGTTTTCTACACAAATCACCATAAAATACAGCAGATTAAAACAGAACCAAGAATTCTCTTGCCACAAAATTGTAGCTTCTTAAAATTTTGTTGTAGTTATTATTTTATTTACACAAAAGTGGAAACAATTTTTATCAGCAAGCAAGACACCAGCTAAGCAAGCTTTGTACACAGAAAGGCCTCCATGGTGGTGCAAGGAGTTAAGCACTACACTATGAACCAATCCGCAGCCTTTGCAGCACAAGTTCGATCCCTGGCCAGCCAGGGAGAAACCACATGGTAAAGCAGACCTCTCCTGTCTTGCCCACTGCTCCCCTCAGCAGTGTATTTCAGTCAGTCTGCCTGTTCTGTCCCCCACTCTGTCTCTGGTGAATCCTCCCACCCCCCACATCTCTGGCCTGTACCCCAGCTCTTGTATGCATAAATAAATAAATCTTTTTTTTAAAAAAAAAGACCTATCACTATTCAAGATGCTTATAAAAGTTTTTAATGGCATACTTGATGATCAAAAGCTTAGTTTTGAAAAAGAAGATGTGATGAAGTAGCTCAACTAACTTTTAAAAACTGTGGAACAGATAAGTAACGGATCTCACTTATATGTGAAATCTGAAAAATCTGATCCTGTAATACAGAAAATATGAGCAGTAGCCAGAGGTGGAGGTGGGCAAAATAGATGAAAATGGTGAAAAGGTACCAAATTCCAGTTGTGAGATAAATAGCTGATGGCTGTGGCATGTACAGCATGGTCACTAAAGTGAACAATACTGGATTATATACTTGAACATTGCTAAGAGAGTATATCTCATCTCAAGGAAGAAGAAATCTACATGAGGGGATAGATATTAACTAAACTTACTATGGTGACCATCTCACAATTATATGTCAATTAAATCATTATAGGGTACACCTTACATTAATACAATGTTGTAGGTCCATTATATCTCAATAAAATGGGGAAAAATTAAAAACTAAAAGCATTGAAAATGCATGGAAGCACAACTAAAAGGAGATATACAGTCTTAACACAGTGAGAATTTGTGTGATCTTGCTTCTCTGCTTGTAGTTACTTTATACTTTGTGTAAATAAAAGGGGGGAACATATAAAAAGCTGAACACAAAAATAGGATAATTGCATAGATAAGGGGTAATAGCATACTTGAAAAGACAGTGTGAAACAGAAGTGTCTACAAAAGTGGAAGAACCTTCGAAAGGAAGTTTGGCAAAGATTACCAAGCTCTGGCAGGGAAGAAGGAAGTAACTACATCAGACCTAAGTGACGCTAAGTATTAAAATCATCTCTTCATCTTGTCCTGTACGTACATTATTTCAATTTAATGCTCACCAGGCAACATGATGGTTTTAAGTGCGTTTTATGTGTTCTGCTAAAAACTGTGCACTCTTTAACACAATATGGTCTGTATGCATTCCAGTTTATACATCAGTCTTCCACAAGCTGGTTGGTGGGAGTCAGTTCTAGGGCAATCAATCAACTTGGATAAGATCAAATTTCTGGAAAATTGAGGACTGATTTCTGAGTTGTGGTAAATACACCATGTAAAAGTCTGTGACCACTGACCTCACTAATACATCCACCCCCGACCTGCCTCTCTCTCGTTGTAACTGTCCTTAAGATGACAGCCTCAGATTGGCCCCTCCACTGCCTCTCCACAAGCTAAGAGGTTTTCTTTTTTTATTCTCAGAGGTCGACGGCATGGGAGGAGTAATCTCCAAAACTGCAGCCAGTAGTGGTAAGTTCGGGACAGACCGCCTTACCTGCCTCACCGCTGAGTTAAAATGGACAGCAGTAGCTAGAAAGTGGACTTCAACAGGACATTTCTGAAGCTGCAAGAATCAGGTTTTACTATGATATGGAATCTAATGCCAAGAAGAGAAAAAATGCAGGCCAGCGAGAAAGGCCTGGCCCTCCAAATTTGAGTAAAGGGTGGTTCTGGGCTCAGGACCAGGCCACCTGGTGGTTTATAAGAATAAGTTCCACTTCCCTCTCTGTCCACCCCCACTCCTGCAGCTATTGGAAGACCTCATCCTGATTGCCAGTGGCCAGGCACTGTTAATAGCTGTGCACTGCAGGCAAATGAGCAAGCAAGGAAAATGTAGCCGTTTCCAAGACCCCGGAGATACTAGTCCTGGCTTTTATTTTTGGTTCTCTGCTCCTTGGCCTTGAGAGTGTCTGCTTAAAAGCCAGAAGGAACATGGTGACCTCGGGTCCCGCCATCCTTGAGAGAGAGACTCGAGATATTTTTACCAAAGGGACAGATGGGGCTGCAAACACTAGGCTTTTCTCTCATGTGTTTACTTGTGTTTTAAGCTTCAGTTCTCATTTTGATATTCAAGGCTCCATGATCTACAAAAGCAGTGTTCTCGCCTTTTACAGAGCTGTAGCCCCAATTCTGATCCCCACTGGTGGCTTAGAAAGGGCAGGGCATGGGGGGCAGTGTGTGGGGGAGACACTGAAGCTGGAAAGATTCTTAAACAGTGGTGGGTGCACTGAACCCCTTTCACTTTCTCTCACACAATCCTAAGGAGAAGACCCCAGCCTCACAGTAGCCCCCATGACTACTGCACCCCGCCTGGAGAGGACCACTTCTAGGGGCCCAGAGCACAACCCCAAGTAAGTGGCATTCTCCCACCCTTTTCATCTTGTGCTATGTGGGATTTGACTTGGGGTTGGCTGCTTTGCCCTGTGGACTTGCGGAAGGAGGTCTGGGGAGAAGGACCAGAAGCAACAGCAGAACTAAATCAGCTTTTGAGTTAGGCGTGTACTTTTTAACCTGGGGTCCCCCAGCCTCAAAAGACCCACAAATATCCTAAACTTATAGGTGACATTTGCTGTGTGAGGGCCCATGAATGTTTTGACCCACACAGGGCAGGCGGGGGAGGTGGTACTCTTATCTTGGAGAAAGTTGCTCCCAAACCCCAACATATCATCTGCTCCCTTTCTTGGCCCAAACAGCCAACAACATTTGCTCTTAGCCTTTTTCACTGGGATTCTACTGACACTACTGCTGGTGGCGCTCGTCTTCCTCATCATAAGGAGCTACAGAAAATGTGAGTCTCCAGCACTGTTCTTTCTCTGCCATGGGGAACAGCTGGCCTCCAGTGAATAACAGGAGGGGCAGGTGTAAAATCTGCAGTGCCCACTCTCTCTGCAGTGACCGCTTCACCTTCCCTGCTGCCCTCAGCCTCCACCATCCCATCACCCCCACCTCATTCCCTCTCTGCCCCTTCACCCAAGATTGAAAGGAGAGGATTCCGGTGCCTCCAACCCCATGGGTGAGACTTGTCCTTCTTCTTCCTGGCACTCACGCAGGTCACTCCAGCGCCCGGACCCTTGATCCCCACTCAGATCCCCACTTAGCCAAGGTAAGAGGACTGTGCCTTGTCCAAGACCTTGGATTCCTTTTTCATTCTTTTTTTTTTTTTTTTTAAGACCTTGGATTCCTGGGGCCCTAGGCTCTCCCTCTGTGCCCTGCCTTATCCACTAGAATGGGGGTGTCTCTTTCTGGCCACTGGGCCAGTGGGTCTTTGAAGGGTCCTTCTGATCTCTTTGGGTCTTCTCTGACCAAAGCGTTCAGTTGTTTCTAAAGAGACCCGTTCTCCAAACCGACCTCCCCCATCCTCCCTTACTCCTTGTTCTGCAGCTTTCACCCCCAGAGGAGGGAATTACCTACGCCAGCATGACCTTCAAAATCCAGAAAGAAAAGAAAGCGTCCTCGTCTATGTACCACCCTGCAGACTCGGATCCCTCAGTCTATGCTCAAATTAAAGTGACAGACTCATCCCACCTTGCCAAGGAGACCTGAACACAGCTCCTCTGCCCTCCGCCTCATTTTCATGTAGCCACTGGGCATTTCTGGAGCCCAGAGCCATGAACCTACTATCACAGTTGCTTGGCTGTGAGCTGGCCGTGTTAGCCAGCAGTTTGCAGGATCAAGGGCCAGTCTCTTCACTGGCCCTCCCACTTGGCCTGACAGTCTGTCGGCCCTTGGAGGGCAAGGACACGTTTCCCACCGGTGGGAGAGCGAGTAGATATGTCCACTCTGGAAGGCAGCTCTGCAATGACTACAATGTTTAATATTCTATTTATCCTGCATATATGGAAAGTCACCTGTGCATTTTTAATTGCAGCATTCATTATGTTGTCTAAAACTCAGTGAGGCTTTCAGGCTCTAGGCACTATGCTCAGCGCCTGGCGCATGTGATGCTGTGGTTTAAATAAATATCTATGTGGGCTTTCATTGCTGGTGAGGGTTTCCTAAGTGACAAGAACGGTGCAGGTGTCTTTCGTTATGTTAATCAGGTGACTTTTGGAACTGAAACACCTCAGGAGAGGGGCTGGTGGCCAGAGGAAACTAACCCCTTGATTATTGAAGGGTTAGAGGCTTCAGTCCCATCCCCTTGGCCACTGGGGGGTGGAAAGGGGCGGCAGGTTGACTCAATCACTCTCTGGGCTGGTCAATGTGTTAATCACGCATGTAATGACGCCTGCAGAGACTCCCAAAAGGATGGCTATTCAGAGCACTTCTGGGCTGGGGGACTTGTGGAGATTTGGGGAGATGTCGTGGCTGGAGCGAGCATGGAGCTTGTAACCTGTCCCCATACCTTGCCCCAGCCCTCTGGCTGTTCCCGAGTTATATCCTTCTATAATAAACCAGCAACCTAGTAAGTACGTTTCTCTGGGTTCTGTGAGCTGCTCTAGCGAATTAATTGAAACCAAGGAGGGGTCCATTGGAATCTCCAGTCTATGACCATTCAGTCAGAAACAGGTAAAATCCTGGATTTGTGATTGACAATCGGGGCGGGGGGGGGGAGCGGGGCGCACTCTTGCAGGCCTGAGCGCTCAAGCAAGTCAGCGTCAGAACCAAGTTGACTTGTAGGACATCTGCTGGTGTCCTACCAGCACCCATTGGAACTGGTGACCAGAACTTTTAGCATGCATGCATGGAGTCCTCACGACACTATGAGACTATCGTCGTTCTCATTTTTGATACATGCACGGAGGCATAGAAAGGGTAAATCACTTGCCCACACGCACACTGATAGTAAGTAATGGTCCTGGGACTCCAACCAGGTAGATGAGCCCCAGAGTCTGCACATTTCCTAGGGTGATCAACTCTGCAACCGTGGAAGGCTGGGAGAGCCCTGGATGTCTGCTGACATGGCCCGGCCAATGAGTGCAGAGCAGCCATTGGGGGAAAGATCTCCAAGGTACCATGTTAAGCAAAAAGTACCACCTGCTGGGCAGAATTATGCTCTGTTCAGGTAGAGAGTGTGTGTGTGTCTTGTCCTTGTAGAGTCAATGTCTCCAGACTGGGCAGGGACCCTGATAGCTGAGAGACGATAGGCAGGGGTGAGAGGGGTGCCATATCTACCCAAAGACGTTCTGTAACTGCTCCCATTCCCCATTTCAGTTCCGAGTCAACCGAGAAAAAGGAGAGGCCTCAGCACCGTCGATACTACGAGCATAGCTGGCACTGGAGTCTACGGCACGGACTGGCTGCAGACATGTGAGGTCACAGCACTGAACCCCAAGGGCCGATGGACAGAGGTGCCCCCAGGCAAGTCCCACGCCTCCCCACAACCAAACCAGCATTCAGCTGCCCCAGCGGTTGCAGACAAGTTCACATGCTCCAAAAAGACTTAAAAAGCAAGAGGAAGGGCAATGTCTGTGCATCCTGTCGTCACCCCCAGACTCATGTATCAGGTCGTTCCACCTCTGATGGGGCGCCCCTGGGGAGTGTTACCGTAAGGCAGCTCAGTCCACAGAGAAGGGAGCAGGACTGGGAGCGAGGCAGCCTCTACACATTCTTTTAAAAATGCATTAAATAATATATATATTTTTAAAGATTTATTTAGTTAGTTATACAAACACTGGGTACAGTCAGAAGCACGGGAGGGTGAGAGAATTCACCAGAGCCAGAGCGGGGAGCAGAGCAGGCAGAAGGACCGAAGTACACTGCTGAGGGGAGCAGCGGGCGGCAGGAGGGGTCTGCGCGCCATGTGGGACCCTCCTCCGGTGGCCGGGGAGCAGCCGGGGATCGAACCGGCGCTGCAGAGGCCGCGGGCAGCTTCTCAACCCAGCACTCAACCGCTGCGCCACCGGGGAGGCCCTTAAATAATATTTTTTAAAACCAATTAAAGGTCCGGGGAGATGAAGAACAGCACACGCTGCCCCAGGGCGTGGTGATGGCAGTCCCTGTGTGTTGGTGGTGCCCGCGTTCCCGCAGCCCGTGACACCGCAGCCACCACAAGGTGCAGCGTTTTCTACCCCGCAGCCTCGTATGCGTCGGGGTCGCCCAATCACTGATAGCACCACCTCCCCCGGGGCTGGATTTCATCTTGGCCCTAAGCGCACAAAACCCCTGCTACTCTGGTGCGCAGTGACAGTGCATTTCTCAGAATGAGTCCCCATCGCCGAGTGACGCACGACTGTCGTTGACCCCATGTCGTCCAGCTAGAAAGTGGTGGAAGAAAACTTCAGTGCCCTGACGGCAGCCCCAGCATTTTAGCTCCGCACCACGCTGCCCCAGGGCATGGGCACAGCAGAGTAACCGGACAGGTAAAGCCGGTTGTGTGCTGAGAGAGCATGTTGGTCCCTGCGCAGAGGCTGCCGTGACCGCTGGAGTTTTTGAAGACAGGGGAGAAGGCCGTGGGGAAGGAGGGGGGCCCGTGTGGGGGCCAGTGCAGGATAAAGGTGGGTTAGGGACTTCAGGTAGTGAGGCGCACCGCAGAGTGGCCAGCCCCGCGAGGGCAGCAGCGCTCCGGAGAGGCTCTTGGCCAGGCTGTCGTGGGAAGTGCCCACAGGCGGGCCTCTCCCTTCAGCTGTTCCTAAGCTCCAGGCTGGCATCACACAACTCCGCCAGCCCTGACGAGAGAAGCCACAGGGCTCGGCTTCAGAGCCAGCAGGACAGACAGTTGTGGGTAGAGGAGCCAGCAGCACCAGGACCACCCACTCCCCACTCACAAGGGCAAGGCACATCCATTGCCCTTCCCAGTTTTCTAGAAGCTTCCCATTTTAAAGGGCGTGGCCCTATGTTCCCATAGTCTTGGTTTTGGTCTCTCTGTCATGAAAACTGGCGTGGAAGCAGCCTTGCTGCAGGAGGAAATGAGCACGTGATTCACCGTAGGTAGACAAGGGCTCCACTAGGCAGGGGGAGAAGAAAAGACTCTGGAACAAATCTGTAGGAATCTTGGGGACACCGTTTCTCAGGTAAGCATAGCTTATCCAGGACATTGAGGGGGGTTCTCTGAGGTGGTAGATGAACCCCTGCCGCCTTGCCCTGTGCCCTGAACCCACACGGGGTTGCTGTTTGCAGAAGTGGTGGCCGGTGGCTCCTCCTTGCAAGCTCGCAGTGCTGCCACAGGGGAGATGTCGGGGCAGTGTTGTGGCCGAGAGGGAACAGCGCCTCTGATATTGCTTGAGCTGAGGTTGCCAGGGAGGGGATCTCGCTATATGCAAACGTGGGGGATGGCGGAAGTGGAATGGGTCCACGCCTCACTCCCACATGCACCCAGGGGGGCTGTCGAGGAGCCCTGCGTTCCCTACCTGAGGAGGGAGGGGCCGGGGCGGAAGCTGAAGAAACTGTGTTCTAAAGGGCTGTGGGCACCCAGGCCCACACAGCAGTTGTGGCGTCACGACTCTGTCAGCCCCATCCCCTGCCCTCACCAGACGGCCACCTGCGGGGTTCTTATATGGGCAGCAGAAGCAGTGGCACAGATACCACAGAGGGCGGGGGCCGCGGGCATGCAGGTGAGAGCTCAGAGGCCCAGCAAGTCTGGCACTGATGCCAGTATGGCCTCACCTGCACCGCAGCTGCTGCTGCCTGCGCCTTGAAATGTGTTCCGAGTGTTTGGCTTCGAGTTAGCTCGTCTGGGTTCTCCCTGAGCAAAAGCAGCATCTGCTCGGTCCGGTGCGGTTTCCCCTACAGCGCGGTCTTTGAGCCAGGAGACCTGAGGAAGACCTGAGGACTGCCGGCATGGCCTCACTCCCATTCTTTGGGTAGGACCATGAGTAATACTCATTCAGACATTAATTCCGATCTTATCCTTGAAGCCTTCCCGGCAGTGACTTTCTACGGACGTCCAGGGAGAAGCGACCATATCTGGGGACTCACGCAACACTGCTCAGGAGTTTATTGATTAATGAGTAAAATACAAGTGCTCTCCCAGCCCTCTGACCAAGGCTCCCCCCACCCCCCATCACTTCTGACCAGCTGACTACAGGAGGACTAAGATCTCGAGTTGTCACCCGGCAGATCCTTGCCCAGGTGTGGACTGGCAGAGCTCCACTGGTTACCTCTGTTCTTACCCATCTGCCAGGGCTAGTTGGCGAGGTTAGAGGGTCCTTCAGAATGCCTGAGAGATCAGAATCATCCCCAGGATGTGGGCCGGTGGGCTCAGTGATTCTGTTAGAGTAACGCTTTATTTATGAACTAAATTAAAAAATATTCGGTCACATCTGTTCAGAATGAGCCATTTCCTTCAGTCAGGACACAGGCGAGGGGCTTCAAAGAGTCTTCTATTTTGTTGGAAGAGAAAGGAAAAAGTGAGTTGAGATCAATTGCCTCCCTCTGCTGAGTGTCTTCTGCAGAGAAAGTTGCAAACTCTTCAGAGGTAGAAGGAGGGGTGGCTTCAAGGGAATAAACCCCAAAGTTTGTTTTCAGGGCCAGAATCATATGTTATTACTTCAAAGCATATTGGTCAATCAACAGGAAAGTCTGGTATTGGGGGGCTTCCATTCACCTCTCACCAGGCTTGGATCACCCCAATGCACCTGGATTCCTCCTGAAGGCAAGGATGTCCCTAAATCAGGGACCCTGATTCAGGGTGCAAGGAAGCAGGTCACGGCTATGCCAGCTGTACATCTCAGTGCTAAAAAGGAACAGGGCTGGGCTCCGTTGCCTCAACTTTCACAGCTCATTTACTCTGACAGTTCTGCGCGCGTGTGTGTGTGTGTGTGTGTGTGTGTGTTAATGTTTGCCTCCCTCCCACTCCATATTACAAACTCCATGAAGACACATGCAGTTACTTTTGCTTATCTCCTCCATCTGGCAAGGTCCTTGTTTATTGAATGAATCAATGAATCAATGAATATATGGGTAAAATATCCCAGGACAATCCCAGGGGTCTTCAATGTGTAAAACAGAAAACAGGGGCAGAGAATTTGCCCAAGACCACGCCTGAAAGAAGGGAGAGTGGTTTCTGCAAAAACCCAGATGACAGCTGTGTCCCTCGGGGCGTGGTCTTGGGCACATCTGGAGAACATGCTGCTTCATCTCACACCCCCGTCTCCACAGTTCCCGGAGCTGCTAGAGGACACAGGGCCAGGGATGGCATTACTTTGATTTCTTAGCAAACCTGCTCTGACTGTGGTATGGTCCCAGGAAAGTATGAACCCCACGACCTTGGAGCTGTGGTTGATTCTCCTGGCTTCCCCGCTTAGGTTTCATTATAGGTGTCTCCCCGCTGCCCTGTTTCCCTGACATGTTGCTTTTCTACCTTCCATGTGCAGGAGACACTGGAGACTGTTTCGTGATTGCGCTTAGTCCCTCCACAGCCCATGCTGCTTCCGAGTGTGGAAAGAGAAAAATAACAAGGGTGGCAGCAAGTCTACTGGCCAATCGGTGCACTCGATTGGCCTGTCCTTCCTGCCCCGTGTCCGCCTGAGAGGTAGGCAGAGTCACCACATGTGGCCTGGAGGGTTTTAGTTTCTCCCGCGCTGCCCCAGAGGAAATGAGCTGATGTCCACAGCCCCTTCTGAACAGTCCCCGCTGGCTAGCTAGGATCAGGACCCCCAGCGAACAGGCAGCGCAGGACACAAGAGCCCAGGGAGCTACTCACCAGAAGTATGGGGCTCTCGGTGGAGGCTTGGCTGGCTTTCTGGCTCCTGGCGGGGCCTGCACCTATAATCACCCCAGGACAAAAGGGGGATCACGGCATGGACTGAGGGCCCTGAGCCCGTCCACTCCCACGCCTGCTGCTTGTCCAGGAGACATCCTGAGACCAGCGGGGCTTTCAAGCCTCTGTTCCCTCCAGGTGAACAAGAAGTTTCAATCGAGGGGTTAGGCGGCCTCTCAAAATTAATTTGGGGGGCGGCAGGAGGCCCCCAGACGTGGACATTGTCTGGCTCCTTCCTGGTCTGCACACACCCTGACTTGTGAAGGCTGCAGTGCTACCCCCATCACCTCATCTGCTGCTCTGCCACAGGAAGCAGCACCTCCCCAGCCCATGGGCCAGCTGCATCAGTCCCCAGGGCACCAGGCACTAAGAGGAGGTCACATTCACTGCTTTGAAAGTTGCCCTTAACCCCTTTCATTTTCTCTGATTTTGGCTTTTTCCCCAAAGTGCTACTTACCTCTTCTATTCCTTTGACTTCTCCTCCTTTTGAACAAATGACTGATTATAGAGATGACCCCCAGAGCCGTGATCAGGATGCAGATGATGAGAATGGACCACCTGGGGGGAAGCACAGACTTCCATGTCTCTTGGAGGACATCATCTTTCTGTTCTCTCAGCTCAGGATTCCCTTTTCTGGGCTCTGCCTGCCTTGCTCCCTGCCCCACACAGTCACAGTAGCTCCTGGCAACCAGATTCCTCCTGAGTGATGCTATCCTCTGGCCTAACTTGATGGGGCCTGGGATGGGGGGCTGACCAGGTTGGGTCCTCAGAAATGAGCATGGAACTGGGGTTGCAGAGTCCAGTTTCCTACTGTCTAATTTCTGGAGATAAGCTAGAGTGGATAGCCGCCCTATGGCAAAAATGAAATGTGAAAGAGTAGTACAGAGAGAGAGAAAGCAAACTGCTGCTTAAGAGTAGCAGACTGGAGACGGAGATCAAGACCTGATACAGGCCCTGCCCACTTCTGAAGGCAGCCACACTGCTGCCCTTGCATCTCGTCATGACGAATTCTCGTCAATTAAAAGAGCAAGTGTACATTGTTGCTGCTTGAGACCAAGAGTCCTGCACTATATTCTTTTGAGAGAAACCAAATAGTTTGGATGCGTCATTCAGGTGGGAAACAATAGGAGCTGAAAAGCAGCACGTGCCACCCAGCCATTCCTTTGCTCACCCAAGGCCGAGTTTTCTCCTAAGGTTATGTGACTCACCTGGAGCGATCTGCCTTGTGGACAATCTTGGAAGTCCTGCAGCTTCTGGTCTTATTGCCTGATAGATCTGCATCAGAAAGAAGTGGTTGAGAATCCAGTAAGGTGCACCCCAGGCCCCTTCTTTGCTTCTGCTTCTCTGCCTGTCACCCCTCAGTCTCCAGAGAAGGAGCTCCCTAAGGCTGACAGAGCAGAGGGGCCAAGTCGCTACAGGAGAGGTTGTGAATGCGCTGTGCACAGAGTGGGCGGCTAGGGGACAAGATGGGCTCACGTCCTGCCGCCCTCTGCCAAGCCACAGACCCTGGCACAGGTCTCCATGCACCTGGAGGAAGTGGCTCATTCTCCAGATTTGCACAAAGGCTGGGTGTGGACTATAAGTGGCCTTTGTTTGAAAACCCCAGGCTAAGGCTGAGGGAGGACACCAGAGGCACCAAAGGGTCAGCTTTCCCTAAAGGACCTGGTCAGTAGGGGACAAAGCTGCCACACTGCACTTTGACAGCCCCAAAACCTAGTGGACAAGCTCCCCCACCCCCACCTCTCCTCTGACCACGCGACTCCTCTGACAAGACCTGGCTGTGGAGAGCGTCTGTGTCATAGTCACACGAAGGAGCACACTTAGACAGGACGGCTCTCATCTTGAGTCTAAACCTCAGGCCAGGCCTCACTGTTATTATGTAAAAACAGAACCACACAAAGTAGAAACACCCTAGGTGAGAAAGTCACACACTCATCAAGATGCCTGCTGAATAAATGACCAGTCAGTGAAGTGGGAGCAAGACTCTCTTTTTAGTACCAGGAGGAAGCGCCCCATAGTGTCCCCCAAGTCCTCTGGTTTGCTTTCCTCTGTCCTTCCGCCTTGGATTGTAATGGAAAAGGGCATCCTTTCTAGAACTGGAAATGATGAGAAGCTATGGGGGGCGGGAAAACAGCTCTCCGCTTTGGAGACAGGGTTTCCGGGCTCCAAGGAAATTGTCAGCATTTGACAGAAGACTTTTGATGAGCATCTCCCTACAGCTCCTGTCCCGCCTCTGTCCACCCAGCAGCCTCCTGGAGTAACGCATGCCTTAAAGAGGGGATTGCACAGGCCACGGGGATCATGACATTTACATCTGTCAAGTATGAAATGATTTAACTGGCAGCGTGTCTATCCAGATGCTGGGGTCACACCTGCAGCCTCTGCCAGCCTTTCAGGAAACCAGTCTTCAAAATTCTAGGCCTGCTTGGAGCTTTAAAAACAACCTCAAAGCCTTTTCTGACCAACAACACAAGCTCTCGCACCCTCCTGCTAGACTCACAAGCCCCTTCCAAGTCCCATTCCAGCTTGCTGCAAGGGAAGGGAGGGCCCGAGGACACCCCAAGGCCCAAACACACTCCTCTTCCCAGACTCCAAGTTAATCCCAGCACCATCAGCAATCACTATCCAGTGGTGGACAAGAGAGCCAGTGCTCCCAGGCCCCTGGGGGTATTTTCCACATCATTGAACCCCCACTTTTGTGAGTTCCCCCAGTTAGACCACTGGCAGGTACCTCACCTTTCCCCATCCAAAAATCTCTGGTGAGGGCTGGGGAGATTTTCCTGGACCAAAAACCTGTGTTGTCAGTCACCACCAGCTCTGTGAAGTCCATGTCATCCCGGGCGAAGTCCCTCTGGATGCCGCACCAGTACCAGCCCGCGTCCTCCTTGGTCAGGCAGGACACGGTGACGATGAGCTGGCTCCCCGTGTCCCTCAGGGCCACGCGGTCCGTGCTGTTGGGTGTGAGGGCGATGATGTTGCAGTAGTCCCGGAAGTAGCCCCGGCACCAGTATTTGGGGTGATCCTTATAGTAGACGTCATAGCTGCAGACGGCCGAAACTGTGTCCAGCACAAAGTTTTCTTTGACCTTTTCATCCATGACCATGGCATCTGTCAACACACACACAAACCGTCGCTCTTTTTAAGCGTGTGGCCGCTCCTGCCCTCCTGGAGGAAAATTAATTTCAATCAAGTATGGGAGGCTGACTTCACCTGGAGGCATTGGCAACTGCTATGGGCTGAAGTGTGTCCCCCTAAAATTTATATGCTGAAGTGCTAGCCCCTAGCGCCCCAGGAGGTGGCTGGGTTTAGAGACAGAGACTTTACTGAGATGAATTAGTTCTGACATAGTATGAGCACGGACCCTACTCCAGAATAAGACAGGTGAGCTTGTTAAAAAAAAAAAAAAAAAAAAAGATTAGGAGACAGACAAGACAGACAGACCGAGTGAGACGGAGACCATTTGTCAGCTAAGGGGAGAGGACCGGAGAGCCCTAACCCACAAACACCTTGGCTCAGGACTTGAAGCTTCCATAGCAGTAAGGAAGTAGTTTCTGTCGTGTGAGCCTGAGCTTACCAGGTTGCCACCGCAGACCTTGCAAACTGATGCGGCAGCCCTGAAGGGACCTTCCTCCCTGGCCTCTGGGTGGGTGACATACAGACCCTCCCCTGGAGGAGTTGGGCCTCTGTCCGGGGCGCAGCAGCAGACTTGAAGAGCCTGAGGCCTCTGGCCCCTCTGGCCCTGGCCCCCGGCCCCTCCGCCTTGGTACCCCACAGACAAGAAAGTTTGCAGGTTCCCACTGGCTGGCTAGGGCTGAAGACAGAGGGCACCAGGGTCTGCCTTTAGGTGCTACTTGCTTCGTATTTCCTCCACACCAGAGAGGGTGGGCGCCCATCCTGGGAGGACATTGCACAATGAGGAAGTCGCGCTTCCGACCGACAGTGTCCAGCCTGACGGGGGCGGAGCAGTGCCTGAGGGAGGAGAGGAGATGGGGCGGGGGGCAGGCAGTGGAGCCCACCCTCGCTCAGCCTCCCCTTGCGTGCTCCCCTCAAATGGAGCTCGCAGTGGGGGGCACCAGTGCACAGGCGAGCTCACAGCCTTGATGCCATTTGACATGACTCTGTTCTCATGAACCCCACAGAGAAGGTCATGTGATGCCTGGTTTTCTGGCGTGGGTGTTGCCCTAGAGGTGTAGGGGCTCAAAGATCACAAGACCAGAGGGTGGCAGAGTCACGGGCAAGCCCAGTCCTCTGAGTCTCATCTTCCGGGCCAGGCATGGACAGAAAGTGGACAGTCCCATCCTCATCTATCTGCACAAATATTTTTAAGGGGCAAGGGATGGGAAATGAAGCTGAAAGAGAGAATCCAGAGCCCTCATTTTAACTCAGCATTTCAAATGTGCCACGGCCCTATTATTAGAGCTGTGAAGGACACAGCTGATAAGGACAAGCTCTGCTTTCTCCTTTTTGTTTCCCATCTCACACCTTAGGTGGTTCAATCTACTAAGCAGGAGAGAAGGAAACGGCCAGGTGTCTGTGAGGCTTGAAGGGCTGGGGGCTGTTCCTTCCCTATATCTTACCTGAAAGGAGAGTCAGGGAAAGCAGAATCAAGGACCCCATGACTGGAAGGAAGTGAGTCTTCGACTGGAATGGCAAGATGTTCCCAGGGGTCGCAGGAATCCTGGATCTGTTTAAGGGAAGCAGATATCTTTGAGCTTAAGATGGTTTCATATCATGTTTGGAGAAACTGAGGGAAAGGAGGGAACAACCAGCTCATTCACGAGAGCTGCAGTGTCTGGGTGCCCAGGTTGTGCACTGCACACGGATACTCACCAGAGGGATGCCGTGTGTGGACATACACTTGACTTTATAATAATGTGGGGCAACTAAGAAAATTCTGGGCTGCAGGGCCGAGCCCAAAACAGCAGTGGCTGCAGTCTCCCCTGGGGGTGGGTTAGGAGCGTGAAACTGTCGTAGCAGATGTGCCTGGCATCGGGAGCACGTGAGCTGGTAGAGTGTGGGTGTGCGGGTGTCAGCAGCCAGGCTGCAGCCTCCAGGCCTCTTGGAAGTTTTCTTGGGCAGAGCTGGGACAAATCAGGATCATCTGTCTCCGTCATAGTAGAAGTTTCCCCTGTTTCCTAAGAGGATGCAAATGGCCTGACAACTAATTTCCAGTTTAAATTATGGAAACACAGCTCAGGTTAGTTCTAGTTGATAGCTACAGATCACACCCCAGAGCTGGCAGCACATCCCGGCATGGCACAGACATGAGAGATCTTCCAGGTTGCTCAGTAAAGTCTGCTCTTGAGGAAGAGGAACCCGTTTGTGATTCATGTGAACTCAGCATATGGGCCAGCGGCTGACTACATCCTGGTGTGTGCTTTACCTGCTGTCGTGGTAAGGTAAGGGTTTTACTTACATTGTCTCACTTATTTCTCATGAGACTTCTGAGTTCAATAAATAACCTGCAGGGTTTGATTTGGGGGGTGGGGTATGAAAGGAGGGAGGAGTTAATGGATTAAAAGGGACTCAAGAGACATACCTACAGATTGCAATACATGGAACATACTCAGATCCCAAGCAAGTAAGTAAGTAAGTAAGAAAAGCAAGTAAGAAGTAAGTAAAAAGAAGCAAGTAAGAAAATTTCGACAGTGACTAGATAGTAGATATTAAAAAGTTTTTGTTCATTTTTTTTTCAGATGTGTCAATGGCATTGACATAGCCTCTAGGACGCCTCATGGTATTCATGCCATTACTTCTGGCCTGCATGATCAATAAAACATGGCAGAAGTGATGATACATGACTTCCATGGCTAGGTCATAAAAATGCAACTTAGATGCATTAAAAAGTGCACAGCTTCCACTTTTTATGCATCCCAGATGCATAAAAGTGCATGACCTAGACACAAAATAATGTGTGTCTAGGTCATCAAATGTGTGCAGCTTCCACCTTCGTCTCTTGCGCTGCTCAGTCCTTGGGATGTCAGCTGCCATGTTGTGAGGATTCTCAAGTGGCTCCATGAAGAGGCCACAGAGGAAAGAGACCAAGTTGCTGGACATGTAGGTCCCACCTTGGGAGTGGACCCTCTAGCCACAATCCAGCAACCTCATTTGAAACCCACCCCAAGCATGAACCACCCAACCAAGATGCTCCTGAATTCCTGACCTGCAGAAACCTCAAAAAATGATAAAGCCTTTTGTTTTCAGCCTCTGTATTTTAGGGTAATTTGTTACTCTAATTGACAATTGACCATATAAGATAACTGTGGTTATATCTCTTAAAGCAATCCTTGTCTCTGAGAAAGCTGCCTGCAAAACAAACACTTTAGCACCGTAAGGCCAAAGTGCCCACACAGAGGGAGGGATTGTTCAGAGATGTAAGTGCCCAAGATTTGAAAAAGTAACATCCTGAGGCAGATGAAAGGCCCAGGCTTCAGAGAATAGGTACACGTGTCTGTCAGCTCCTGTGTATTGCTTAGTGTTACCAGCCCCGTAGCTCCTTCTCAAGGGTGGAAATTAATTTCCACTCTATTTAGACGTGCAAATACGAAGGCAAATGGGTCGTAAGAATAAGCCAAATAAAAAAATTAAACACATCTTTTTGGAAATACACACTGAAATGTTTACAGATGAACTAATTCAGCGCCCGAGAATGTTAAGCAAGCTGGCTCCCGCTTCCCATTACTAAAGCGAAAGGACAGAGAAATGTATATTTGAAATTTCCCACAATCAAAAGTAAAAAAGCAAAAAACAAAAACCACTTTGATGCAGGTGTCATTGACTTTATTTTCACCAATGAGGAAATTGAGGCTCAGGTCAAATAACTGCTATGTTGAAGTTCACGCAACTGGCAAGTCCACTACGATCTGATGCTAAATCTAAAAAAAGTAATAATACTCTTTTCTATGACGCCCTTTTGTTTTCCCAAGAGTCCCACACTGCAGCACACATTGGCGTTTAGGAAGAGATTTCACCCACACCATGTCATCGCGTGCCTGGGGCGGGGGGCTGCCTGGATTCTTATTCCCGCTACACAAATGTAGTATCCAGGAAGAGAGTTTCTCAAGAAATGTCCATCTATTGCAAGAAACTGAATCTCCCGATGGACAATGAAGCGGCCCTGTAGGAAATGGCGCTCTCGCCGGCAACCAGCCTGGGAAACCAGTCCCTCCTCTACAGTAACTGGTCCCCGGAGGCAGCCTGCTAAAGTCACACTTGTCGGAAGTTTGGCCATTATCTGCAGTAACAGTCCAGGAAACCCAAAATAATCCCTGCAAACAACTGACCCCAAGTGACCAGGGCTTGAGTAATAGCTGGTAGCTTCCCTAATTTTGCACCTGCTTCCAACTTTGGCCCAGTGAGAGAAAGCCAATCAGCTCCCCAACCAATCATCCAGGAGGCCCCGCTTCGGGTCAGCTGGCCTCCACTCTCCCAGCCCACGGCCTCCAGTCAGAGACTCTCGAAACCTTCCCTTTTTCAGTTATAAAAAGTTCTCCTACCCCTCTGTTCGCCAAGACGCAAGTGTCCGGGTCTGGCGCCCTGGCTCTGCACGCTCAGAATAAATAGCCTTCACTTTCTCACTTGGCTTTCATTCATTTCCACATTTGACTTGATTTTAAAAAATGGGCAAATAAACTCAGCTTCTCAACATCTACCTTTGTCCCAGAGAATTCATATGGTAAAGGAGAGGCAAACCTCAGTTTTGTCTGGGTGGGTTTTTATTTCTTAACTTTATCTCTTAGAATTAAAGCCCAGTCGCCACTCTTGACTGCCTAGCTGAAGGGAGTTGGGGGGAGATTCTGGTGACGTTCACCTCTAAATCTGAACCCAGGGAGGATGCGCCCTTTCTAGCCAGAACCCCCACCACGGGGTCTTAGCTCATCTCTTTCGAGTTCATTCCAAAAGACATTTTCACTTTCCGGGCTTCCTCTGGGCTAGCGGGGGGTTTCCACTGGACAACAAAATTAAAAATAGCACAACTCCCTGCAGAGAAGGGTGAGGAAGAAGGGAAAGGAGAAGAGAAAGAAGGAAAAAGTGTTTCTGAGACTGAGGAGCACAGCTTGTCCGACGTCACCCAGTCGGCCAGGACAGGCTGCTCTTCTGTTTTCAGGGATGTGGTCACTTTACTCATGTTTCCCAGAAGGGCCGGCACGAAGTGCCGCTGCAGCTGTGAGGCTGGAGAGGATTCAATTAAGAAGCGCATTGTGTGAAGAGTCCTTGGGACTGAGACCTAATCGGCACTGGCCCTCCGTCTTCAACTGTGTGTTGGGGTCACCAGGAGCCCCAGAGCCAACCTGGGGTTTCATCCGGAAGAGAAATTCTAACTAAGCACAAACACTAATTCGGGGGTAGGGGGATGTCTTCAATTAAAGGACATACCACTGAGAAAAAAAGGTCAGCATGAGGGCAGGAGGTTTGTATTTTTATTTGTTTTTTAATTTTATAAATACTTTTTTTTGTTTTTATTTTTGCATAGAAGAACTGGGGTACAGGCCAGGGGTGCGGCGGGTGAGATTATTCACCAGAGACAGAGCAGGGAGCAGAACAGGCAGACTGACTGAAATACACTGCTGAGGGGAGCAGCGGGTGAGACAGGAGAGGTCTGCTGTGCCGTATGAGGGTCAGCTCCCTGGCCGGGGATCGAACTCAGGCTGTAGCAGCGATAGTGCTGAGAGTCAACCCCAAGGCCACCAGCAAGGCCCCCAAGGCTTATATTTTTAAAGAAAAAAAGACCCCCCAAAATGTCTTAGGGGAGATAGTGATGACTGAAGTGGTCCCCCACATCCAAGTAGCCACAGGAGCCTTGAGTTCCGGCTCCTCTGCCCTTAAGGGAAGATCGTGGGAGGCTGGGGAAGTGGTGGGAGGGCCAGCCAGCCCCTTTGACATTAGTGAGCAATTATTTGCAAGTTTTCGAGCTGCTCAGATAGTGTCAGTTCTTCCTGGTCTGGCCGGCAGGCAGAGAGACAAGAGCCCTTTGCTGAAATGAAATGCTAACAAGATAAAAGAGGCTATCGGGTGCTGCTAGATGAGACTTAGGATAAACTTTCAGGACTGGCTAAGAATTCATTAACATTTTCAGTTCATGCATCCGCTTTTCCGTGGTTTAACTGAAACCCCCGCCTTGCTGTTCTCAGCACGTTTCAGTGTTTATTGCCTTGGAAGTGAGAGTCCATTGCTGGAAATTTGGACAGGCCAACCCAGAGATGCCATGGCGAATCGCCAGTCATGCTCACAGCCCAGAGAGGTGGCGCGGCTCTGCCGCCTCTGTCCTGATGAATGAGTGTAGGGGAAATGAAGCTGGTCAGGTTTTCACACCCTTGGCCTCTGTGGCTATCACCTGCGGCCTTGATCTTGATAATGTAGAGGGCGTGAGGGCGCCGGGCACCCTGGCCTGACCATGGACACCTGAGCATGGGTGTGTGCGCCTGTGTAAGTGTACACACCTGAGCCTAGAGCTCAGGGATATAAGGGCGGCGTGACTCAGAGACTGCGCGGCCACCAGAGTTTAGACCACGAGAGAACGCCAGAGCGAGCCCAGAGAAAGGGAAGATTCTGGGGTCTGGGAGGCTGAACTTGAGAATTTGGACTCTGGAGAAGTTACAAGCCCCTTTTCATGTCTGACATTAGGTGTCGAGAAGCTCGGGGCCTGCCAGGAGGCAGAGGGCTGGGTCTAAATCCTGGCTCTGCTACCTGTTAGTTTCTTGACTATGGACAAGTTACTTTAACCCTTCTGTGTCTGGTTTTCCTTCTGCAGAATGAGGATGGTAGGAGTGGTGGTGTCTGATGGAGACTAAGAGTAGAAAATTTGGGAAGAAGTCATCACAAGACCAGAAATGAGCTCAACCAAGGCCAGAAGCTGGAAGTGGGGGTTGAAATGATTAACAGTCATTAAACCAGCTACAGAAAAGTAAAGTATCCGGAGGTGGAGGCGCAGATGGGAGGTGGGGTTATGGAGATTGGGGGCCAATTAAAAGAAACACAGGTCCTTTCGAATCTACCTAGTCAACTAAAGAGAAAAAATCCTTGGGCGCCAACCCTAGAGATAATAGCAGCGAACAATTCCACAAAGGGATGAGCCCCTCCCTAAGAGAAGACTGGATAGGTGCAATTTCTGCACTGGCAGGGGCAGCAGCTCACCTGGCGCCCATGACCACTCAGGTGTGTCTCTTCTACAACCTTCTCCCTTTGCAAAGCAGCAGAGGCAGCTCTCCTCCCAAGGCTGCCCACCTGTGTCTACAGGCCTCTGCAGGCGTCTCTTTTGCACATCTGTCTCTTTCAGGGGCTGCTCTTTCCACCCCCTTGTGTCTGTGCAAGTGTCCTTCCCTTCCCTTTTTATAATAAACCTGCCTTTTTTGGATTTATCGATAACTAAATGTCTCTGCTCGCAGAGAACTCGCCTGGGGAAATCCACCGAGTGCCACTGAAAGGGGAGCTCTGATGAAACTTTTCTCGACGCTGCTCTCTGAACCCAGCACCTCTCCAAACCGACATCAGCATCGACATCAGAGGTTGTCAGGACCCAAAGAGACATGTGTGTCGAGTGCTTAGTGCACGGTGAGTGCTCGAGCAGTAATGGCTCCCCAGTAATGGCTCCCCTGCTACTCCCACGAAAATGAAACACCAGAGGAAATGATTAGAATGAGAGAGGAAATTCTTCCTTCTCTCAAAACCCATGAATGGTCCACAAAGTTGACAAAGATTCCGATCAGCCCAGGAGAAAGGAGTGGGGTGTTCTGGAACCAGGGAGAGAAGGTTCCTGAACTCACACAGGTGGACATGCCAGAGCAGTCAGCTAGGTCTTCAAGTTCACCAGTTGACCTTGGCCCTCAGCAAAGAGCTACGCCACAGTTATCATCTTTTATTTACTCAAACACATTTACAGGTGAATTCAACAGTTGAAGCCCCCCCACTAAAGTCAGTTCACTGTTTTCCGTTCCCACCATGTCCCAAGACACCTGCCAAGAGCAGGCGCTTCTGCTCACAATGCAGCGGAACTCGGTCATCTTCACGTATGTGTCAGCCTGATGGTGACCTTTCGTGGGTCAGCCCTGAGGCAACCTTCAGATTCCAGGACATCTTCTCTTTGGGACTGAGGAACACAGCCAGCAGTAACAGCAGGCTATTGTCCTCAAGTCAGGCATGCGGACAATAGGATTAGAGAAGGAGAAGGAAAAAAACTGAATCAGAGGAAGAGGAAGAGGGTAGAGCAGAGAGGGGTTGGGGTGTTCCATTGGAGGCAGCTGGCCAAATACTCCCCACCTTGCTTGAAGGAATCAAGGATGAGAAAGTCCTGGGCCCAGGAAGATAATTCCTCCAAGAGTTTGCTGATGCTGACCTGAAGGTCAGTGGGGTGGAGTGTCCATGGATAACCTACTGCTTGAAGACTTACTGCTTGAGTCCAAGGGCTCAGAGGCCTGGCAGGACATACAGGTTTTGAAGATCATGAGATAGGTTTCCTTGAATTTCTTTATTTTATAAGCATAGACGATCGGGTTCATCATGGAGTTGGCATGGGACAACAGGATGCCCAGGTTTTGCACAACTTGTGGCACATCACCGTTGAAGTGGAGGATACAGTTGATGATGGATAAAGGCAGCCAGGACACAGCAAACAAGAAGAGAACCAGAAACAGAGACTTGGCCGTCTTGAACTCCCGTCCATAAAATGCACCTGTCTCTTTAGAGCTAGAAAATTTCTGATTGAGTCTGTTCCGGATGATATAGAAGATGTCAAGATAGATGGCACACATAACAAGCAGGGGGATGAAAATCCAAGTGAAGAAGCTGAAGTAGACCATGTAGTCCATCCTCATGACTGTGCGGAACTTGCAGGGAAGGAAGGTGTTATTTCTGTCAACTCCTGTGGTCTCTTTCTGGTTCCAGCCAAACATGGGTGTCAGTCCCACCAGGAAGGACACCAGCCAGCAGAGTCCCAGGGCCAACCATATTCTCCTTTGAGTAGTGACCCTCCTGTATCTGTTTGAATGGGAGAGAGTCAGTGAGTGCACAGCAGAGATTGCCAAGAGGCAGAGAGCCGGGGCTGGGAAAGGCAACAAAGATGGAGAACATGGATATTCTACCGTCACTTCGGCCAAACTCCACAAGCTACAAAGATGTGGATTAGAGAAAAACCTAACAAACCTCCCTGGGAACTTTTCTAAGGAAGGATGATCTGGAACAGATGAGAAATATGCTGCCTAGAATCAGCTACTCGCAGACCCCACTTGAAACTCCATTGCTAGCCCAGAAGTCTTCAATTCCTGGCAGGTAAGAGTTACCTAAGTCTCCTGGGATGAGGTCCTCAAAATATGTTTGCCTGCTGTGCTCTGCAAGGTTTTGCTTGGCTTTTGTGCTGATGCCTATAAATTGTACCTTCCCACTCTTGCCCTCTGCCTGGGTCTGCCTTATCTTCCCTTGGCACTGCCATCCATACTTGGTGTTTGAGTTAAGTGAGTCCATGGGGTTGAGCTCATGTTCAAGCACACCCCGGTGTCTTCAAAGACTCATCCAATGGAATCACCATTTCTCCTTAAAGCATCCCCCCGACGACATCCTACACAGATGGAGGGGACCCTGCCAAGTGCCAACTCTGTCCTTGGCAGACCTCGTCTCAAATCTCACAACAAACTGGAGCTATTTCTCATCCCTTCCTTTTCACTGATGGTACTGGATGGTAGTAGTGGAAAAAAGGAGCTGTGGTTACCATCTGCTGGGCATAGACCATGTGCCAGACATTTTTCAAGGAGCCTTTCATGGGTTAACTCATTTAATCTTTTGAGGAAGATGCAAGTATTATCCCCATTTTATAGGTTAAAAAAAAAAAAAAACCAGGAAGACGAGTAACATACAAGCTAGAAGTGGGGGAGCCAAATAGCTGAGTCCGGGCTCAGGGGACCTCAGCCCTGTGAGCAGACAAGGGCCGAGGCAGAGAAAGTTAAGTATTCCAAGTTCAGATGTCACCAGCTGGGATTTGAACCCGGGTTCCTTTATATTGAGTGCTCGTTCACAGCCCCCTCCTCCTGCTCTCCCCAACAGAAACGAGACCCAGGTGACACAGGCCCCTTGGGAAATTAGATTGCTCTACTTGGTACTCGGTTCCCACGGCCACAGGAGAAACTGCTACCACTTTCTGTAACGGAGAATGTCTTTGGTCCCCTCTTCAACATGGAAGAGGAAGCGAAGTTAAAATAGCTTTCAAACCAGCCACAATTGCAAAGAGCAGAAGCATCAGTTTATCTTTTCTGTCTCTTCCTTATTTTATCTAAGAGGTTTCTATCGTTTTTAAAACTCAAGAGCATATTCTACCAAGGGAGCTGTGTTCAGCCTTGATCATCTTTATCTCCCCTGGGGCAGGGGGTGGATCCTGCATCCCCATAGTCTGCGGGGAGCGACTGGAACCTTCCTCTGCTCCTGCGTCTGAGCTCATCATAGCAAAATGACGGGGTGGAAAAACCCTCTTTTCCAACATAGAGGTCATTTGGATTTGATTTCACTCAAACGCCCCGAGTCTGGACTTGCCTTAGGTCGGGCACCTCAGTCGCTGCCCCCACGCCACCCCTCTTCGAGCAGGTTACCTGATGGTGAGCTTGACCCGCAGGTATCTGTCCACCGCGATGGCTAGCAAGGACATGATGGAGGCGTGGGTGAAGATCAGCAGCAGGCAGGTCATGAGGAGGCAGTTATAAAAGTGTATCCTGATGCCCAGGCTGATGACGACGGCCAACGGCATGACCAGCACCCCGACAGCGATGTCAGCCAGGGCCAGGGAGACAATGAAGTAGAAGGTGGTGGTCTGCAGGCTGGGGTTCAGCTTGATCACCCAGATGACCAGCACGTTGCCCACAATGGCGCAGAGCCCGATGAAGATCTCCACGGTGATGTAGGCGATGCTGTCCAGGGACAGGGCGGTGCTGTTCATAGACATCTCGCTCCTTGGGGGGGTGCCTCCCAAGATGGGGGACCGGCAGTGCTCGGTGGTGTCCGTGTGGGTCCGCAGGCCTAGCTCCGGCCACACATCCCAGCAGAGGGCCAGGCGCAGCAGCAGCTGTCTAAAGCTCACCACGCACCATGCCTTCCCTTGCCCGGCTTGGCGCTCCCTGGGCCACCCTCTACTTTAGAGAGAGCCCATCGCAGGGCAATTGCTCCCAGTCTTCTGGGCCGCACAGACCCGCTCCCGGAAGCCTGGAGGGCAGTTGTTTGTGGGCTGAATCTGAAAGTGCTGCAGTTCTTAGTTCCCCTGCCCTGGAGGGCTCCTCAAACTCCATCAAGATAAACAGCGCTCTTCAGAGGCGGGTCAGGAAGTGAGAAGGGTCAGGAGAAAGCGCATAGCCCCAATCGCTCAGAAAGAAGATGGAACAGACAGAGGGGCCGGGGTGTGAGAAGGAAGAAGCCTCAGACTTCATTCACCAGGGACCAGACCGGATGAGAGGACACGGCCAGGAGCACCAGCTGCAGCAGCTGACGTCCTGCTGGCTTAGCTGCAAGATCCGCGAGCAGGAGGCAAATGAAACAAGGGAGCGAGCTACAGACTTGGGTGGCAGCCGCCCAGCCCCAGCCTGGATTGATTCTTTCTTAGTGCACGCGGATACATATTTGTGTCCCTCCCAGATGCCTGGGTTAAGATCTCAAGGTGATGGCATTAGGAAGTGGGATCTTTGGGAAGGCGTAGTGACCGTCCTGAAGAGAGGCCCCACCGAGTCCCCTTGCTTCTGGGGACACAGAAGACGGCCATCTCTGCGCCAGGAAGCAGGCCCTCAGCCGACACTGCATGTGCAACACCGTGATCTTAAACTTCCCAGCCTCCAGGGCACTGAGAAATAAACCTTGCTGTTCACATGCCACCCGGTCTTGATGGTTCTGTTATAGCAGCTGGAATAGACTAAGCGCATAGTTGCAAGTGCTGAGAATTGGGTCACAAGTCTGCTGGGCACGGCTGGACCCCAGCCTACTTGCCAAAGGGACCAGCTAAGAGTCCCTGTTCAGAAGCACAAAAGACTCCACACATCCTGAAGCAGCGCACGTGCAGACCCTCCAGCTACCGTCTCAGCTCACGTGCCCGCCAAAGTCTCACACACCCTCGCACTAGCAACCCACCTGTGTCGTCAGCTCTGCTTGAAATCGGGACGAGGGGATGACCAGCTGCAGAAAGGAGGCAGAGGACACGTGTGCCCATAACCACGCGGCAGGCCCCTGTACCCCCACATCCCAAGCCCAGCCCCGCAGGGGCATGTCTGGGAATCAGACTTTTCCCTGTAGTCGCTCACCTGGTCTCTACGTCTGGGAACCAGACACTTGAACACCATTGTTACTTGGGGTCCACTTCTCAGTGTCACCTAAGTGTGCTATTTAGAGACAGCAAGAAGAAACAGTGGCACCTAAGCCTGCACAGTAGACAGAAGGATCCACAATGTTCTCCTCCGGCACCCATCTAAGTGCCGCCCAACATAATATTCCACAGTTCGACGGTGTTGTTCTGGGATTTACCAGCAAGCGCGTCCCCCGGCGGTGCGGGGCTGCCGGGGTCTTCTTGAGTAGCTATGCTTCCACATCATCAGTGACCCCCGGCCACACCCCAGGTCAGCCCCCATCCTGTGTCCTGAGCACTCTCCCTGCAGCGGGGCAGCGCCCTCTGAGTGCTCTTTCTTTGCTCTGGCATTTCCCAGTGCCCATGGCCCAGGGCCCTGCGGGACCATGAACAGCTTCTCCAGCCTCCAACATGGCCTGTCATATGTGTTTCCCCTGCAACTGCTTTCCTTATCTCTGTAGAGCAGGAAGTCAGAGAGTGATTTCCAGGAGGCTGCGTGCCACCAAAACAAGTCGTTTTTGCTCTAAAGCGATTGTTGAGTCTTGATGACACCACGTAAGAAGTGCACCTTGCGCCAGCCCTCCCGCCACCCAGTGGCACCCAAGGGCCCGATGCGAGAGGAAGCCCCTCTGGTTGCGGCCACTGTGCAGCAAGGGGCCAGTTTCCTGGAGGGCTCCCCAGTCTGACCTGGTCCCCAAGGATGGAGCGAGCGGGGCTGAGGAGGGGAGCACAGACATCGGCTCTGGCTTTGAGAGCTGCTCCCACATTCCAAAAGAAAGAGCTGGCAACCAGCCTTATGTGACTATGGGCCAGAAGGTGGGCAGTGGCGGGGGGAGGCAGGCAAGGCCAGGAGCCTCGGGTGCAGCCCTGGGGCGGGAGCTGAGCATGTGGGAATGGCTTTGGCAGCTGGGCTGGAAATTTTCAGTCTTGCCCCTTTCGTTCTGCTGTACCAGGGAAGTCCTTCTGGAACCAGCGCGCCCCGGCAGGCTCAGAGAAGCAGGAGAGCGGCGTGTGTCCAGGCCAGTCACCAGAGCAGCCTGGCGGCCCGGGAGAGAAAAAGGAGGGGCAGGGTGCCCTCGGGTCCTAGCCACCACTTGGGGACTGTTTCCAGAAATCTCTGCACACACCCGTGGGATTTCCTTTCTGTGGACAAGAAAAGTCCTTCCTTCATGTTTTCTGAGTAGACAGAGCCCATGGCTCCTTCAGCGAAAGACTTTGACAGCCACTTAGCATTTTGGCTGAGGATGGGGCCCTGAGGGTCCTTTTTGCTCTAGACTGCACCCCAAAAGGCAGTGCAGTGAGGGCAGTGACCCTGTTCATGGTCCTACCACCCTTCCCTCCACAGCCCACAGCCTCTCTTGACTAAATTTTCTCATTGTCTCTCACATGGAGACCACCTCCACCTGCTTAGCACCCCCAGAACACCTGTCTCCCCAAAGCCTCCATGTGGCCCTCGGGTCAAGTTCAAATGCCTCATTAAGGCTACGAAACCCTCAGCCACGCATCTCCCGGCCTCTGCAGATGTCTAGTTCCCCCTGAAACCGGGACGGTCACCGGCTAGCACGCTCTTTCACTTCCTCACCCTGTGCACACGCTCTTCTCTGGCCTGGAAGGCCCTGCTCCCCCGGGTCTAACTCCCACACGAGCACTTTTCCTCAACACTGTTCTCAAACAAGATGTGGAAGAAAACTTCCCAGATACTGTCCCCCCAACCCCTGCTGTGTTTACACCACCCCTCCCCTACATGCTGTGGACTCCTGGAGGGCGGGGGCTACTCTTTTCATTTCTGCAGCTAGTCCCTCTGACCACGCCTGGCGGAGAGCAGGGCTCTGTCTCCTGAGTAAGATGAGCAAAGCACCTCAGTGAACCAGGGGTATCAACCCAGCTGGGCAGATACTAGAATGAGCAGGCCAGTGAAGCGCTTCCCACGGTGGTGCCCATGTTGCACACCCAGTCTCATTCAGGACTCTCTGCCGAAATAGAGACTATCACGACGGCTGAGCAGACTGCAGCTCAGAAAGGTTAAGTAACGCCCAGGGTTGCACAGCCAGGAAGTGGCACAGCCAGCATTTCCACCCAAGCTCCCAGCTTTGGAGCCCAGGTCCTACACCACAGCCTGTGGCAGTGAATAACCATTGGCAGCTTTCCCAAGGACGAGGAGTCCCTGGTTGGATGTTGCCATATTATCCAGAGGAGGTTCTAACCCCCCACCTACAAACCAAGGTGGGGACCAAGCCCGTGGGGACAAGGCACAAGTACCCTGTGGGTTCAGCACCAACTCTGAGCCAACAGGAGGTGGAGGAAACTGGGAGATGATTATACAAGCAGGCTCCTGGCCCCACAGGGAGTTCTGGGCCAGAAGGAAAGCATGTCGTTGGACCAGAGTGTCAGAAAGTTTTGTTTGTTTTTTAATAATAAAATACGAGTGAGGTGTGGCTCAGGGGATTTTTCCCACCTACTGGAAGGACCTTGTCTATTTCAGTTCTACTGAAAGAAGCTGAACTCCTTGGAGGAGGCAAGGATCTGGGAGGAATCTCAGGAAAAGCAACTAGAATCCTGGAAAGAGGCCTCACTTTTGCCAACCCCTGGCCTGGAGCCTCCTAGGGAGGATGCAGCTGAACACAGCTCAGCCACAGGCTACAGCCTGGCCCTTCGGCCTAAAAGCCAAATAGGCTGACCAGAGAGATGGTTCATCCTCTCCTTTGCAACTTCTCAGAAATGCCCGGAAAACCCCAGCAACCAGCCGGCAATAACAGCAAGTGCAGTGTGAGCTGGGGCCCCCCTGGTGGCAGGGGTGGGGGTGGGGTTGGAGCCCTATAACCGGTACAGGTGGCTGCTGAGACAGGATGTCACGGCGGTGGAAGGTGGCAGCTTCTGCCCAGGCCTGGTTCTCCCTGACACCACTGCTTCCGGCAGAATTGCACAAAATGAGTTTGCTCACTTCCTCTCGGCCCCCTCACCACTTCCCCAAAGTCTCGTGTTTTCATAGCGCTCTGTGCTGGCTGACCAACAGCAGGGGCTTAGAAAGGAGCCCTGTGCTTGTAGTCACCCCACAGCCTGGCTGGCGCTCAGGCCGCCTCCCCCAGCCCTCCTCCTCCTCCTCTGCCCCCCAGCCAGCCAGGGGGACCAGGCTGGACCTTTCAGAGACCCTCCTCCAGGGGCTCAGCTGGCGCCACAGTCCCCAGGGGGTTTTGTTAGGGCTGGTGATTTGAGCCACGGCAGCTGTGGCCAAGGAAGCCGGTACTCCAGAGGTCTGAAGTCACTTCAGGATATTCAAAGTGATCCAGTGAAAGGGCAGAAGAAGAGGTTAAGCTTCCTTCTCTCTGACAACGGGAAATCCTGCCTGGCCAAGGAGATGAGTAAGAAACCCAAAACTGAGGCCAAGCCCCACCCATCAGACCCCCACCCAATGGAATGTGTCAGAAAGCCCTAGTGAAGAACCTAGAGAAGGGTTTGACTAATTCTAAATTTGTCCCAGGTGCCAGGCGCTCGGCAAGTGAAGAGGAGTTTAACCTGCATGAATCTGGAACAGCAGAGGCTTCTGGACATCAGCTTGTCCAGCATCTGCAAGGCCTGATCATGGGCCCTGGCTGGGGCGCTATTCTCAGCAGTGACCACCAGGTGGCAGCACATGCCCAGCACACGGGGTGAGGAAGGTGAGCCGAAGTTTGCAGCTCCCTCTTCCAGCA